CAATTTTTTTTTATATTTTTAATCTTATCTTAATTGTTTAAGACATATATTACTTCAAATTTTTGCATGATGCAGGATTGGATTAGTTACACAAGTATGGATTTTATGTCTATTGGCAAGTCTGAGCTTGAATTTTATCTGGATGAAGCAATACTTCAGCCTCATGTATATCAAGAGTTGGATGTCCTTAATTGGTGAAATACTAATAAAGGTAGATTTCCAATTCTTTCAAAGATGGCAACTGATATACTTAGCATTCCAATCACTACAGTTGCAAGTGAGTCTGCATTCAGCATTGGTTCACGGGTTCTTACAAAATATCGGAGCACTCTTCTTCTTGATAATTTTCAGGCTCTTATTTGCACCCGTAACTGGTTGCGTGGTTTTCAAGATGACGGTAATATATGATTATTTTTATGTATTTTTTCTTTCTTCATTAGAAGCAAATTTCACTAAATTATATTTCTAAATTTGTTCATTTATTGCAGATCATGAAATAGTGATTGAAAATGAGAGGAAATCATCTGAAGAAATTTCACCAGTTGATATGCCCACTGAGAGTTCAAATGTAGCTTCGGATAATAATGACAATGTCAATCAAGAGAGTCAAGAGGAATAGGAATTAGAAAAAATTGATTGCATGATATTTTGAACTTTATTGTGAAATTTTCATCTTTTTTTGTCAAGGGATTATGCAGTTATGTAATATTAAACTTATTTTCAAGTTATTTAAACACTTATAAGCTTTATTAGTATTTGGTAGCATGCCTTTGTTGTTCAATTAAGCAATTAACTTTTTAAATTTTGTTATTAATATTAATATTAATGTGTTTTTTATGATTTATTGCATGTATTTTACTAATCTAAAATGTGTTGTTATGTTTATATTATTTAAAAAAAATTAACTTTTAAATTTGAAATTGAAATTAGTTCAAAAAAAGGTTTAAAAAATTATTTTTTAAAAGTTTCGGGTATTCGGGCTAGCCCGAATAAGCCCAAAGCCCGAAGATGTTAGGGCTGAGCTTGACTATATGGGCTTTTTTTAAAGGGTATGATACTTAAAGCCCGATCCGAATAAGCCCGGCTGAATTGAGCCCGGCCCGCCCAAATTACCGGCTCTAACATTAAGCAACTCTGTGGAAAGGAATTTGAACATGGAAATCGTAGGACTTTTGGGAAAGCATGATTACAAAATTAATTTAATAATTTTTGCAAAACAAATCCTGTAAAAAAATACCCAATGCCTCTTTGACTCATGAACCCACTATTTCTATAATCCATTTACTAGCACACTTTCATTCCTCAATACACATGCACTAGGAGCTTTACTCATGTGGGTAATATGAGACTTCTCATTTTGACACACTTACACCATAATTACAACATATAAAACCATAGGATTGTTGCTCTGGAGGGCAGAATATCTCTTGTGACACTTTGAGATAAATATGAAGTTTTGATAGAGATTTTGCTTGATTTATTCTTCTCTGTCTAAACCTTCATTTTTGCATGTTGATGGCTAAAAATGAGAATATGGGAAGAGAAGGCAGTTTTAGGTTAAATGGAGAAATCATCTTAATTAATAACTTGTTGAAGTCCACTCATTTTAGCCAAGTATTTTTATCTTTTAATTGGAAAGGAAAAATTAAAACAAACAATTCTCCTCCATTAATTTTCAGCCATTAGACACGGCACTTGTCCCTCCAAAATTAGGCTTGGATTTGCCTCATGTTTTTCTATCCATGGTTATCCATATTGGTATTTTCTTGCTCTAGTGAATTTAAATTTCATAATTAATTATTTGGGAAATTCTTAACCAATAAAATTGATTTAATTTATCCAAATAGCTCCTCCTTTCATATACTAATTTTCTTAAACTTTTTCCAAAATTTTGGATATTTTTTTTGTAGCTATACTTTAAGACTCAAACCTTTCAGAAATTACATTCTAACCTTGTTGAGCATGACATTTTTGGGTTAATGTTTACTCTCATTCTTTTTTAGCTCAGCAAACTTTCTCATCATCATGTAATATTCATCTATAATTAAGTATCCTTTGCCTTTTAATTATTATTATTATTATTTAATTCTAGATAGGCTTATACTTTTACTTATTTTTCTTCTATTTCTTTTCTCAACCTTGATAGGAATTGAAGTATTTAAGAAAAATTCGAAGACAATCTATCTATAACAGTTAGCCAAATTTAAAATGTTTCTATATTACAAACTCATCCTAAGTTATCGTCTTCTTAGAGAACTATTACTATAGGTGGCTTTATAGCTCAATAACTTTCTACTAGGTTTATTACTACTAGAAGATCTAATTTACTGAGCTCTTTTTGGATCTAATACAATTCTTAAGATCTAATTGTGATTCTTCTCTAAAAACTTAGGACGTAATGATAATTTTGCCTCTATTTAACTTAGCAACTATATTGTTCATTCTCCAAGGTTGATATTAGATACTTCTGTTACTTTCTTCGGCCTTATTTATTCCTTTTTGCCTGTCTTGGATACTTCTAGATTTTAATTTGCTCATTTATCAATTATGAACATTTCCTTAAATCTATGAAAATATTACACTTTTTTCAGAAAGACTTTAAAATTAGATTTGGTTCTTAAGAACCATTCTATCTTTTTAGGGAGCCTCAAGGATTCTTAATTATTTGGGCTTAATAGTTTATTGAATTCTGACATATTTTGAGTTTCTAGGCCCAAAATTCAGGACGTTACAAATTTTAAGGCTCCACTTTTACCTTATAATTAATCATCTCTTGTTGTTAATGTTTTTGACTTTTTTCAATTTTAAATTCAATTATTTTGATTTGATTAAAAAATATGTTAAGTATATAAATTTAAGTACCTAATTTTTTATAACAAAACTAAGTATTTTATAATAAATTGTGTAGAATTAGATGTTATAGAATATTAAGATTTGACAACAGGATAGAAATTTTTTTGGGCACACGTAGAACACAATCTCAAAAATGACGTGTTATTTCAAATGATTTAATTTTTTAAAAAATAAAGGAAATATAGGCTAGTATGTACATATAAATATTATGCATCATTTTATTATCAATAAAAAAGTTAATATTAATAAAAATATCTTAACAAACTATTAGATTATATATTTTATAAAGGTATATATAATTATATATAAGAGCAATGAGTGAGGTTAGTGGTTTTTTTTGCCCAGAAACGATTCTTCATTCAACGGCAGGAAAAAAAAAAAAAAAGCATCAAAATAGGCCGAAGTCGGCAAAACACAAACAAAATAACAAGACAAAGGAAAGATGCCAAGCAAAACATCCCATGAAGAGGGATGGAACAGCGGGCCCCATTTTCCACTGTGTTCCGCCCTTAAATTATGAATTAAATTTTTATCAATTAAATAAATATTTATAGGCGGTATTTTTTTTATGAGTAACATTTACTATCTAATGCTTTTGACGCCTTGAAATCTCACTCTAAAAACAAATGAAAAATAAAAAAATATTTAGATAAATCAGTTAAATCATTTTATTTGCATTCTATCCAATTACAAAGTTTAAAGTAATCTAGATAAAATTTTGTGTAATATTTTTTTAAATTGATTTTATTTTTATAACAAAATGAACAATTGATTTCTTATCTTCTCTCTCTCTCTCTCATTAATATCATAATTAATTTATATTTAATGTCATCTAAATACAATATTTTTATTAAATATACCAAATGATGTGACATACCAAGTCTATTTAAGCATTTCTCATGAAAAATATGGCCTTTTTCATGTAATTTTGTCCCTTATCCAAATGGTTCAAACTAGCGATTTTACTTGAGGGATATTGAGTCTTTTATTTGACTCATTCTTCTGCTTCATATTAACGACAAATGAACACGGAATTCCATTATTCCAACCATTAATATCACATGTTTTTTTTTTTGTCATGAATAATGCTGCCATTGCTTAAAACTTAGGTTGTATTGATACAGGTACAAATATCCGATAAAATATGGCATGATAGGTAATATGAAAATTTTTTAAAATTTTAGAATACAGGTATTGAATATTTATAACATATTTTAATATTTTATAATATAGGTATAGGTATTTTAATTTTTAAATAAGAATTTCTAAAGTAATATAAGAATATTTATAACAATCAATCAAAATATTAAGTGTTTTTTCAAATTTTTAAGTGATATAATAAAAAATTATTTGAAAAAAAATTCATATTATAAATATTAGAATATAAGATACGTATACTAAAGCATCCTATAAGTATCATATTGATTACATATCAGACACAAATACATTTACTTTTTTGAAATATCGATGTTTTATAACTTAAAACGATGAATGACAAACCAGTTCAAGAAATCCATCGGGCACACTTCCTTATAATCTTCAACTGCTAGAAGATCAGCTACATGATTGCCCTTTTTGGGAGTAAAAATGAGAGAGAACCCAGTCTTAGTTGCCATAACCTCAAGACATTCATGCAGAATACTTTTGCACTTCCATTCATACAAATTTGATTGATTCATAGCAACACAATTAACCAAGAGTTGACAGTCGAATTCAAACAGGACTTTAAACATAGCCAAGATCATTTCCCAACATTAAAGCACGTCTCAATGCAAGCGCTTCTATCATGAAAGCTGATATAGATTTGACCTTATCCACGAAGCACTTTTGTCACAGCTCAATGCAAACTCATTAATTACATATTAAAAAATTAAAAACACCTTATACTTTTTAACACTTAAAAAAAATACTTTATATTTTTGAATGGAATGAATAATTTTTTTTATTGACAATTACTATGTCATGATAACAAAATTTCAGTGCAAATGTATATGAAATGGGAATTGAATCAAGAACAACATACCATTATCATGACTTGAGGAATAAAGAATCAAATTCTTCAATTATTTCATATCAACATCATCTTCTATAAAAACAGAAGCATCTTCTTGTACTTCTTCTTCTTCGGAGCTAGCTTGTGAATGAGTGAGAAAGATCATTCTGCATCTTCTATATGGAGAGAAAAATATGCTCTTGCTTTGGTTTGTACAAAAAGTTCAAGCCACATTTGCTCATGATTGCATCTCAGATTGGCTATACCTTATTGTATTTCATCACTGAAGCTTCCTTCAACCATGGGATGAATCCTCATGTTTATGTAACCTACAGGCATATTGTGGCTAGCCTAGTTATGTTTCCTTTTGCTTACTTCCTTGAGAGGTAATAAATTCACACTTATCTTATATGATCACCTGCACACGTACGTATGCACATAAGCATATTTTGAAAAATATTTAAATAGTTACCAATAATGGTTGGATTGAGTGAAAAGGATTGAATATCTCATAATCTAGATTGAATTATTACTTTTGATCACGTCTTCAATAGGCTAATATCTGTGTGGACTAGCTTTCTCATAAGGTGCAACAAGATAATTTCGGTGTTAGGATCCTAAACCACCCATCACTTTGATTGTAGAGATTTATTGTCAAAAGATTTAACTTATTTTTGCTTTTTTTGCACAGTTTTACCCGTGGCCTTATATTAAAAAAATGTCTTTGATGTTAAGTTCATGCCTTATAAATGAAAGAACTGAGCATATATATCTTGTTTGAGACTTGACCCAACTGAACTATGATTATTAGTTGATACTATTGGATCCTCGCCAAGAAACAATAATACTATTCACAAGCTGATAGGTTGCAGAAATTACTTTGCCCTTTGTCTATTTTCTCCTTGATTTTCATGCAAATTACTGACTACAGGTTTGACAATAGAAATTTAATTTGGATATATAGTTTCTTGCAGAAAGATGAGACCAAAGATGACAGTGACTTTGTTCCTGGAAATTTTTGTGCTTTCTATGCTGGGGTAAGAAAGAAGAAAAGAAAGTGGATATTTCTACATAATAATAATAATAATAATAACAACAACAACAACAACAACAACAACAACATGACACAATATAGAGATTTAATTTTAATGTGTTCAATTAATTTTCATGAATTTTAGGGTAAGTTTGACTCTGAACATTTACTTTGCAAGCCTGAGATATATCTCTCCAACCTTTGTTGCTTCCATGCTCAACACCATAGCTTCCATCACCTTCATCATTGCGATTGTACTCAGGTTAGCTTTCTTCTTTTCTTTTTTTGGTGATTTGAAATTGGTAATCCTAAAGCCTCATCTACTGTTCTTAAATGAAAAAAAAAGATTCATTTTTTGTTACACAAAAATTAAAGTAAATAATTTTATTATATTTTGTTATTACCACTCATGCTTTTTCATGATATTTTTTTTATATTTAAGAACATAAATGTCATCTTACATTAACTTTTTTCAATCAAGAGTCTTCAATATTTTTTGGGCTTAGCATTCAAGAATAGTAAAGTCATAGTTTAAAAAATTAACTTTCATATAATATATATTTTATATTTTTATATATACTATTTAGTTTAATTCAACTTGTTTAGCATATAGAATAAAAAGAAACATGACCATCAAGAACTTGGATCAATTGGTTAGGGAGTTGGTCTTGCTGAACCAAAGGTTTCAATTTTAAGCCTTAAGCATGTAGCAGCAATTTAATTCTCAGTGGGAGGTATGCCCCATAAAGAGGTGCCTGCATGTTGGCAACCAGGTTAATATAGGTCAAAGATCTAGAGTACCGAAGTGAAAGCAAAAAAAGAATAAAATGAAGCATGTAACTTTGTTGAAAAGAAAATTGTTATCATTTCTCTTTACAGTAAAAGAACTCAAAAAAAAAAAGAATAATGCATGTTGGAGGTTGTTGATATTTTTCATCCAAGAGGTGTAGCAAAAGTTCTTGGAACTTTGTTATCACTCGGTGGTGTAATGACTATGACACTATACAAAGGACCTGCTATAAGGAATTTGGGGCATTATCCTCTATTTCAGATTCATGGCAACTCTGCTGCTCCTATCCATGAAGACTGGTTAAAGGGTTCAATTCTCATTGTCTCAAGCTGCATAACATGGTCTGTTAGGTTCATTATGTAGGTCTGATTTGATCCCTCACATCTTTATCAACTTCCTATTATATTAGGGTTTACAGTATGTCTTATTTATCAATTGCAATTTACATTGCTTCTCTTAGACCCTCGCTTAGTAAGTAGTCTAGCTTCTTTTCGTAGTGATTTCTATAAATCACTTGCAGATCAAACCAAAAGCTTCTCATATTTTGATTTTAAAAAAATTCAAAAATAAAATATTTCTATCTAGTAACAGTTGTGTTGACTGACTTACTTGTCGCACTGATCATGAAACATTCAACATAATGATTTTACATGATCCACCTCAAGGATATAAGAACTTTTTGAACTCTAATATGATTTAGTTTGTTTCTTTTTTCCATATGACTTAGGTCGTGGCCTTATATATATTCAAAAAGTATAACTATCTCTTTCATATAAATAGATAAATTTACACATACACAAATTAACATATGATAAGTTCTATAGAGAAGCCAGAGTTGTTTATTTTGGAATCGTCTCACAAATTTAAGCTCTCTTGGTTTAGAATAAGGACAAATTAAAGTGTAATATCTACTTAAAGCTTTACTTTTTTGTGGTGATGACCAATGAATCTTAAAGCAATAGTAAGTCATACTATTCATAAGTCATGAACAATATATCTCATTTACTAGATTCTGTACAATATACATGAATATGTATCTAGTTTATTTAAAACTTGCAGTGAATAACTAGGGGCCAAAAAGAATTGTAGTGGAGAAGTATAGTGATGCAATGTAAGTGTGAAATTGTAGGCAATGACTTTGAGAAGATATCTTGCTCAACTATCACTCACAGCCTGGAGTTGTTTTGTTGGAGCAGCACAATCAGCTATTTTCACTGTAATAGTACAACACAACCATCAGCTTGGGTCATAGGCTTAAATATTGATCTCTAGTCCACCATTTATGGTGTAAGTTCAATACCAGACCTCATATATCTCACTTTATTTATGTTTAATTGCATCAATGATAATGATTATTGGTAGGGAATTGTCACTTCTGGGTTGTTAGTCTTCATCAACTATGGTGAACAGAGCAAAAAGGGCTAGTTTTTGTCACTATATTTAACCCACTCTCTATAGTGCTAGTGGCTATTTTAGCATACTTTGTCTTTGGTAAGAAACTTTATTTGGGTAGGTATGTAACAATTCCTCACTCATCTTTTTTTTTTCAAAAGAAAAACAAAGTGATGAGTCAATGTTTTAAGCCACACTATTCATAAACCATAAATAATACATCTTACTTCATCCTTCGTGTGATACACGAGAAGAAAATATACTCTCTCATATTTTAATTAAAGGACAAAGTTTTAAAAATATACTTAGTTCTAAATATAGGGTAAAGATGTGATAAGTAAATTCTTTTCCAACCTTATCCTTCTTTAATTGCAACAAATTGTTGGCATGCTTTTAATTTCTATACAATATTTTATTATGATCATTAATTTTAGTAAAGGACAAAATTAGAAGTCACACATTTTCTACAAGTTTAAGATATTAACTACCACTTCTTAAAAATTGCAAAATTAGTCAGCTTTGCCCTATAAATAGGATCAAAGAGAATGTGTTGTTGCAGCTAATAATCTATGTCTCTATGTCAGTAACTTGAATGTGGTTACAGCATAGCTTTTATACTATCAAGGTTACTTTTAAATTTTACTATAAATTACATTCACTTATGCAGTTTCAAAACACAAACTCTCATTTCTTCTAATTTCAATTTTATGCATAACTCTCTTGTATTAAATAAACTATTATATTTTTAGAAATCCGTAAAACTTAATTCCAAATGAAATGAAACTTGGTTAGAGGAAGTTTCATAATACATTGTCTTTTGTTATTTTGTAGCTATAGCAACAACAGATTTGGACCTGTAAATCAAATCAAGAGCATGTAGCCCAACCACTGCTATAGCAATAATAAATAAACCAATCTAAAAGTTCTAACATGAAGTTAGATAAGATGGGTTGAAGCATTAGTTTTGAAATTGTAATTTAATTTACTTATACTCACATAAGTTCTTCTTCAGCATCATTGGAGCAATTACTGTCATCATTGGTTTCTACTTGCTGTTATAGGGCAAGGAAGGTGACCAAGAGATTCATAATCATATCAACAACACTAAACAACAATTGCAGAACACTTGTGAAGATTCTGATTGCAGAATATAACCAGCCTGACCTCAAAGGAATGATTTATTATTCTTCAAGAAAGAAGCAATGGCTTAATTTAGATTTAATTGAAATGTGCAAAGCCTTATTGGCATAGGGATATTTTGGTAAATCTACCTTCAAATTAGTTTACATGACAAATCAATTTTTGTATTTTGCATCTATTTATAATATGATGTCAAACTAGCATGATTGTAATATATCAATATCAATAATACATAGTACAATTGAGAAGCTTGCTAATCTCTGGTCACGTTTACTCACTAGAATAAAATAGAATGGAATGTATTAAAAAAATAAAGGTAAAAATAAGATGATCAAAGGGAATAAATGAGCACATTCATAAGGGCAAGTGGTAATGTAGTTCATGAGATTGGGAATCATAATTCATGAGATTTTTGGAGGGTATAATAATTCCAACATTTATAGTATATATTAATGAGTTTTATCATACTTACTATGAGAAGAAGCATGATTTAGTTCATTTTTGTCTTTATTTTTTCAATTTATTTCATTTCATTTTATTCTAGTAAGCAAACGTGACTTAAGTTATTAAAAACTCTTTCACACACTACACTAAAAGTTGAAATAGTTGCTTTCCCAGAACGGGATTGAAATTTTCAAATCATTACACATAGGGAAAAACACAGAATTAATGGTATATTTTATTTTTGAATTCACAAATTTTGCTTGGGAAATTGTAAACCATCAAATAATAGGGGAAACATTGCACTTTATTTATGAGGTAAAAAATGGTAAAGAAGAGGGTAAAATTTCAATAAATTAATCAAAAAATGGTTGAAATTTTTTTTAAAAGAATTTGTAAAATTTGATGAGCTTGTCTAATAAACACTAATGAATGTCACAAGTTGATATTGAGATTGTAGATTTATGCTTGTAATTTAATTTAATAATAGGCCACCAAATAGTCACTTGATGATGTGATCCAATGGTTGGCAGAAGACCTTTCCATCAACTGTTCAGTGGTTGGTGCCAAAAGTCAAACTAGTCAAAGGGAAAAGGGTCAACATTGGTCAAAGAATTAATATTAATATGCTTTTCACACAATTTTCAAATTATAATTAGATCCCTTAGGACCTTTAGGTAATGGTTCAAATTTAAGAAATTTTTGTTATTAACTTTTTTACTTGGATCTATTTATAATTTTTCCTTTTCTCTCCCTTAGAAGGACCTTCTTTATGTTATGCTTTTGATCCTCTATCTTACCCCATTGATGATATAAGTTTTGCTACACATTTGGTGGAAGATGATGTTCTTCCAAGCAACCTTGCATACCTATGAAAATGCATATAAACATTGCTCTTTTTTGTTTAATGCCTTAGGTTATATGTGTGTTCAAGGTGATACATCTTCTCGCTGCTTAGTATTAGAATGTATTGAAAAGTTTTACATTGATTAACTAAAGAATAGATTGAAAGTATATAAATGTAAGGAAAGTCCTATCAAATTGACTCAAGCTATTTGATAGAAATCCCTCTCTCTACTGACCATAGAGTTAACATAGTCATATCTATCTACTTGCTTTGTTCCAAAATTTCACCATCAACATAGTATTATTTGGTTTTCGCCATTTCATATCTTGGTCTTATCCCTAGAGATGGGGGACAACCTCTACCCATGACTCCTTCATAAAAAAGTGGCCCTTTTCTCACTTATTCAATATGAGACAATCTCCCAAATGCAAATTGTGATCCCTCTGTTTTCATGGAAAGATAAACTTAATATATATCTAAAATCAACAAAGTTTAATACTTAGGATCACAGTTGTTTGCTAAGTATCCTTACAAGACAAGCTCATTCTCATTTCATTAAGAGCTTCGTCATGATGGTGTTAGTTTGGTTTTGATTTTGGTTCCTATCAAGTGACTATTTGAGGGGCCAAAATGTTGTTATGTTGAGTTATTTTATTTTTGTCATTTTTTATTTAGTTCTTTATGTCTTGAGGTTGTATGTCATGCGTGGCCCATTATATCTGTTGTTTTTGTTTTCCCATGTCTTTAGTATCTTCAAATTTTGTGTATTAATTGTTTTATTTTTATGGGAATATTGAGTCATTATTGTACAATATTTATTAGACTATATTAATCTTTGCTTCATTGTCTTCTCTTATGTTGTGTGTGTGTATATATACCAATATGAATGACAAGAGTAATATTTTCTCCTCTAAACATTCACATGATATCAGAGTAAAAGATCCAAAAACATCATTAGGTTTTTGTTAGGCCATAGATTCCATGAGATAGAGTGTACATTACACTAGGGCTGTTTTGTGTGTGATGTTTGAGGCCTTATTGGCTCACACTACCCCACAAGAGAACTCAGATAGCACTGTTCAATAGAGTCCTTAGACATTGTGGTGGACAATAGTGCACGGGGTTTACACGCGCCACCAAAAGCTTCGACACCAAAATTGTGTAGGTGGCGTGTGGGAGCATGTGGTGGCTGTGTTTAATGTGCTGCTACTCCCTCCGACAACGGCATAGTAATTCCAATGAGATTTTATCAATTACCACTTCTTAAAAACTGTGAAATTAGTTAGCTTTTTTGATAAATAGGATTGAAAGGAGTATTTTGTTGTAGTTAATAACCTATGTCTCTGTATTAGAAACTCAAATGTGATTGCATCCATCATAGGTTTTATAATGTCATGGTTACTTTAAAATTTTGCAAAAAATTACATTAATTTCTTTTGATTTTCAAAGCATCGACTTTCGTCTCTTCTATTTTCAATTTTATACATAACTCTTTATGTATTAAATAGATTGTTCATTTCTAGAAATCCCAACACAGTAATTCAACTTGAGATGAAACTTAGAGGAAGTTTTAGTACCCAGTGTCTTATGTTACTTTGTAGTGGGGCTGCACAAACAGCAGGATGGTACTGGACTTTACCCTCACCCAAAGTTCGGTCTCTTTCATGAAAAGGATTGAGTTAGGCAACCCGTGATTCAGTCTTGTCCAGTGATAATCCAAAGATTAACAGGACCAAACTTGGTCTATAGGATTAGGAAACTGGTCCTGTTAGTTGAGTACTCACTTAGCTTTTCTTTTTTTTTCTTTTTTTCCTCTATGAGAGGCAATAATACATTTCAATCTAATAAACTCAATTAAGATAGTAAAACCACTTATAATAATAATAATAATAATAATAATAATAATAATAATAATAATAATAATTTCCAACAATAAGAAAAAAATATTTCTGTTATAGTCTAAATGATTTAAATTTATAATTTTAGCAAAAACAGCACTCAACAAATTTCAACAATACTACATTATAACAATAATTTACAAACAAACTTAACAAATCTTCATACAATCATCTCCTTAATATCAATTACAATTTATCAAAAATAAATTAATTATAATTATAATAAATAAATTAATAGGATTGTACTGAACCAAGTAGTTTGAATGCCTAGTTTTTTGTTTAGTCTAACCCAAAGAAATAATTTAATCTTTTTAGTTTTTTTAGTCCTAAAGGACTAGTGTCTATACAACCGCACAAGACTATGACCATCTCAAGGTTAGACAAGATTGGAGGACTTCCTGCTACAACAACAGCTTTAGATCTGTAGATTAAATTAAGAGTACACGGCTCAATCACTGTTATATCAAAGACAAATAAACCAATCTAATAATTTTACATAAATTTAGAAAAGAAGGTTGAAATGTCAGTTTTGAAATCCCATAATTTTTAGTCCTTCAAATTCAATTTTCATCCATTTATTTTACTTATCGATTTGGTCTTTATTATTGAATAAGGAGATAACATTGTTAAAATTTGTTGATATAAATAATAGAATATTCATGATAGTCATATAGATTAATAAAAGGAAGTGTAATTATTTCGTTAGAGAAAAAAACTTTGAAATTTTAAAAAATAAGAGAACAAAACATAATGTAAATGATTATATTAATAAAAATTAAATTGATTTAATTTGTTTTCATTTAGCTAAAATACATGCCAAATCATCAATATACCTTATACATGAATTTATTTTGAGAGTCAATTGATGTTTTAAAATTTAAAAGACTCACATGAGTGACCAAATCAATAATTAAAATAAACTTAAGAACTAAAAATTTCATTATCCTTTAAGTAACTCACATAAGTCCTTCTTAAGCATCATAGAAGGAAGGTGACTAGGAGATTCATAATCATATCAACAGCACTAAACAATTGCAGAACACTTGTGAAGATTCTGATTGTAGAATATAGCCAACCTGCAGCTCTTCAACACTAAATTAGTCATCATTATCTTCTAAAAAAACCGTGATGATGTTACATTCATGAAAATATATATATATATATATATATATTATCAAGAATTTATAAGATATCTCTAAATTAAAAATTTTTAAAAATAAAATTGGCACTCCCCCTCCCTCTCTCACACAGATTATATTAGTTGTCCACTTTATAAACACTTTTGAGACCTTGAATTATTGAAATTCATACAGAAACACTTGTTACCGGTTTTCAACAACATAATTATTTATGAATAAAAGTGAGACTATTATGAATTTAGTACATTTTAAAACATTTTGTATCATAGTTAATATAAAAGAATTATTACATCAAGAAAAAAACAATTTATTAAAAAAGCGATGTTTCTTCTAAGTGATAGAAAATTCTTTTTTTTTTTTAGCCAAAACAAAAAATGAAAGAAAATTTTTAAAAAGAAAACTTGAACCAACTATCTGAACAAGAATTAAGTGCGTTTTGAAAATAGATAGAAACTGATTCTATAAGGACTAGTCCTGCCAAACTTCATATTAGCCGTAATGCTGCTTTACTGGTTATTATTGGTAAAATAAAATACAACAAACCCTGCATTAAAATTTTAAATAGAACTCCTCTCTCTCTCTCTCTCTCTCTGTCTGACTGTCTGTCTGTGTCTGCGCGCGTGTGCGCGTGTTATATATTTCTTCAAGCCATGCTGATCCCCAAGGCTAACCATGTATCCAAGTGTTGTCAAGCTGCTTGAACACTCCCAATCATGACACGATAAAATCAAAGCATTCACATAATAATTTCAAATCTCATGTCATATATTTAACAAGGGTATTCCACATGTCACATAAAAACACAAATATTATTTGAGTCTCAATGTTTGACAGATTAGTAATTACTCTACAGCAAGTTGTGACTGAGCTGGAGCTAACAAGCAGAGAGAAGAATCAGATCAGATGACATTAGCTTCATTTTTGAGTTTGTCAATCAGCTCGTCCACAGAAGAAACCAATATCCCTGCTTTTCTCTTGGGAGGTTCTGTGACTTGAACAATCTCCAAATCAGATTTGATTTCAACATTCAATTCCTGAGGAGTGAACTTCTTTATAGGCTTTGATTTGGCTTTCATTATATTGGGGAGTGTTGCATACCTTGGCTGGTTCAGTCTCAGATCAGTTCTACATGAAGGAAAAGGAAAACGAATTTACATGCCAAGAAAAACACAGCATACTTGTTAACAACAGTTGTTATGCTATTATAGCAGTTTATAATAGTAATGGTATTAGCTTGTAGTCTAGTTGCATACAAGCTGTTCTGTAAATGGGAGATTGTGAGTTCAATCTTACTTGTAACCCCAGACCATTAGTGCCTGCTCCTCTAAGTCAAAAAATAAAAAAATAAAGTAACAGCTTACATAGCAGTACAGCACAGACGCTGACAAAATTGACACAGACTACTGAATAGATCCGAGCACAAAAACTATGGCACAACAAACTTTGAAGAGACTAGCGCCATTTAAAAATTAATACTGTCTGTAATAAGAATAGTATTGCGTCAATTAGCGCTGGTTAAATCGAATGGAAGGGATTTGATTTTCTTCAAACAAGATTAAGGATCTGAACTTTATGGATAGTAAAAATTAAGTAGCAAACCACCTCCAATTAGGCCTACCAGCACTTGAATTTGATGACTAGCAGGCATTTAGTGTCACTTTCGCTTTTTCTGGTCGAGTCAGATAAATCTACTTCTTCACAAAATTTGATTACCTTATTCCGGATGCAAAAGGAATAATATATATTGAAAAGTAAGCTCAATAATATTTCTTCGTCTGAGGAATGCAGAAAACAGTCAAAAGCTTTAAATTCAGAAGAGTTATAGAATCCTTGTATCTTCACAAATGACAAAGAAAGATAATATAAAACGAATTATCAAGATTCGCTGACTAGTGCCAATTTTCTGAAATTACATATGGACATAATAGATTTCGTCATGTTGCCATGCCGCTGTTTCCTAGCCATAAATAGTTAAATGCAACTTAACAGTTTGACAATGTCAGTGTTAATTTGCAATGTTAAACATGATATGCATTGTTGTGATAAATTTGCAGAAACCAGAAAATAGGATAGCTGTAAAACCAAAAAAAAAAAAAAGAGTCAAAAAAAAAAGAGCCAAAAAAGTATTAAAACGTGGATGCGCGCACTCACTCACTACTGCCCAGTAATGCACTACATCTCACTCGATATTTATCTTTTGCATTTTTTAATACCTAGAGAAATGGATGATGGGAAAAAAGGTTCACAAGTCCTTCAAGATTTCAGTTTTGTCAAGTATTGGATACATAAATTTGATTTTTAGTCAATAAATAAATTAAACGACAAGATAAAAATATAAATAATTGCATATAAGGTCACCAAGGCACCCAGAAGTGCACTATAGAGAGGGAAGGTAAAAAGGGCAAAGCATTTCAAGAACCTGTATTATTGTGATACAACATACTTTAAAGCAAAAAAATTTAACACTTACGTGATAACTGCTGGTAAGTTCAAAGAGAGGGTCTCAATGCCATCATCTACCTCTCTGTCCACTGTAGCTACCTGTTTCTCCTTATCAAGGATAACCTACTGGAAAGCAGCAGTCAGTGACAAAATGGTTCAATAACATATCAAATAATAAATCATTAAAAAATAGTAACAAAATCTGCATGAAAGGCACAACGAAATTCCTCCCAACACAAGATACTGGGAATTGAATAATTTAAAATAAATCAGACAACTCAATATGTGTTTGAACTATTTTTTTTTTTTTTTATGTGTATCTTCTCTAACAAAATTGCTGAAGCATGTTGCAACTTAATGAAGACTGAACAAAATAGAAAGACAATAAATCCATCTAAAAATCCTAATAGCTAATTCAAAAACTTCCATCTTGCAATCTCAAACCTAGAAGGTTGACCTATATTTTACCACAGAAGCAAAATGACAAACACAATTCATTCCAATACTATGCTAAGCTTATTAATTGATTGATAACATGATGCCAGGTAATTTTGGACTTGAATGATGCAACAATGACAGAAGTACTCTGAAATACTTCCGAGTATGAGAGGTAAATATAGTAAAAATAATGATTAAAGGACAGATCTAAGAAGAATAAGTATCATGAGCAATATTGTAGAGACAAAAAAAAAGAAAAAGAAACCCATCTAGTCAGATGAAGGCTACAACAACAACAACAACAACAACAACAAGCCTTTATCCCACTAGGTGGGGTCGGCTACATGGATTGCAAGACGCCATTGTGCTCTATCATTTATCAAGCTTTTAAGAATATTATTAATTAAGAGATCGCGTTCAATAACTTCCAAGAGTGTTCTCTTAGGCCTTCCTCTACCCCTCTTAATCGGACTCAAAGTTATATGCTCCACTCTTCTCACTGGTGCCTCCCTTGGTCTTCTTTGTACATGCCCAAACCATCTCTACCGATTTTCTACCATTTTTTCCTCAATAGGTGCTACCCTCACTTTTTCGCGTACGTACTCATTTCGAATTTTATCTTTACGTGTATGTCCACACATCCATCGTAACATTCTCATCTCTGCTACTCCAACTTTATGCTCTTGCTATCCTATTAGAGCCCAGCATTCACTACTATATAACATTGCCAGTTTAATAGTAGTGCGATAAAAATTTCCTTTAAGTTTATTAGGCACCTTACGGTCGCAAATAACTCCTTTAGCTTTTCTCCAATTAAACCACTCAGCTTGAATCCTATGTGAAATATAATTCAAATTCTAGTTATTCACAAGGGCAATAGTTTTTCAAGCTATTAATTTTTACTAAGCCATTGCAACCAATGGCAAATGAAAGAAATTCCTCATACAAACATATTTTCAGACCTATCAATTAGCATTTATCCAAATTCCTAGTTTTGTATCCAACTTCATGCTTGTGCTACCTGATTGAAAGTTAAAAAAAGATGCATGTTTAATTTTTCAGTGGCTTCAGTAGCATTAATCCTAATAAAATAAGAAAGGATATCCATGTGCGAATTAGTCAACAAACACAGAAAACATTTGCTAACTCAGCACATCAGATTAGAGGTTTAGAAAAAATCCATAGTTGCAATTGGTGTTCAAATAAAATACTTGTGGTGGCTCAAACAAAGAGATGAAGATAAAAGAGTAGCCTATATGAACAAAAAATACAATGTCCAATACAAATATGTAGCTTAGGCACATCATAGCATATGAAAGTGGCAGTAATGAACAAGGAACTCTGGCTTCAAAACGTCAACAAAAAGCAAAAAACAAAAAACAAAAGAAAAAAAAGAAGAAGAAGAAAGAACAAGCAACAACTTTATCAAAAACTGGGAAGATGTATCAACCTTCGAAGCAAAAGTCCCTTGAGGCCAGTTGAGAAGCCCTGCTATCATCTGCCCTGTTTGATTGCAATCATCATCAATGGCCTGTAAGCAGTAAGAGAAAAAGAAGAAGAAAAGGATGTCAGAGAAAAATATCATCTAAATGTTGTCAATAGAAGCAAACATCAACACCGGCCATTTACAATTTCATGCATACATTTAGAGCATAGAAGGTATTAGTATATATTTAGAGCATTGGAGGCATAATTGTCCGTGCTGAATCCCAGCATAAGAGATGGAAAAGAAGCCTGTTACAATGTCTGCAATGTTGAATTAGATGTCACAGTTTCATATTAAACAAGATGGTAAGAACGTTGAGGTAATGCAGTCTTCAGAAGAAGCGAAAGGTGTTTGAGAAAATTCAAAACTTTGATATTGTGCTCTGAGGATTGAAAGATGGGAAATGATGTTGTCAGTAAGCCTAAACAGATTCTTCAGCTAGGGGCTAGCAGAAGGATTCGGAAGAAGGCTGTGGCATTAGAGGAAAGTCATTGGGTGGAAGTGCCTGTACAAAATGTAGATAGTGCTGATGCTTCTGAATGGTCTTGAGGCCCAAAAGGTGTCTGAAGAAGAGACTGTTGTGGCTGAAGTTGACAATGGCTGGCCTTCAACTGCCACCAAAGCACCACGAAACTCCTCTCTTGGAACTATTAAGGCCTGGGTGTGGCCTTGACAGTTAAACCCTTAAGGAAGGTGTAGGAAGCACAAACCCTGTATAGTTTTTTTAATGGAAACTAAGATGACAGTTAGGAAGTTGCGAAATGTTAGGCTCAAGTGTGATTTAGATTTTGAGTTCTATGTAGAAATAGTAGGTTTGGCTGGTGGTCTTGTTTTGTGGTGGCTGAATGGTGTTCTAGTTGATGTTTTGTTCCTTTCACGGAACTTAATTCATGCAAAAGTACATTCTGTTATTTTTCCAACCCCAGAGTTTATAACTTTTGTATATGGTCCTATACATGCGGCTTGCATATCCGTTTGGAGGAAGATGTCAAAGCTAGAAGCTTCTGTCATGGGTACTTGCCTTTGAATTTTAATGACTTAATTTCTCAGTCTGAAGTTTTGACAGCAACCAAGAGCTGTTAGAAAGATTTTGAGCATTCAAAGTATGCTTTCTTCTTGTAACTTGATTGATTTGCATTTTCAATTTTTCATGGAGCATGGTATACTTGGGACAATAGGAGGTTGGGTTTGGCTCATCTAGAGGAAAGAACTGACAGCGCAATGGATATTATAGATTTCCATGACACATTTCCTAATACACAGGTTTTACATTTGGAGCCTGTAGGTTCAGATCACTTGCTTTTTGTAGATTGTAACTTTGTGAAGTTAAGAGTTTCCCATGGTGTTTACACTGTTAAATGTGGTTATAGGATAGCCAAAGAAGGGGAAGAGAAGGTGCAGATTTCTGACTCTGGTTGTGCTTCTCAAATCCTTTGGAAGGGTATTTGGAGGATTAAAACATCTCCAGAGGTCTTTCATTTTCTTTGGAGAGCTGTATGTGGCGCAGCACCAATAAAGATGCCTCGTTTAAAAGGAAATGCTCAACTGTATTGAACAAGCTTTATTGTTTTGTCCTCGGGTCAATTGATGCTGGTTTAGCTAGCTCCTCTCTTTCCACGAGGATTTATGATAATGGCTTTCCTCACAACAGCAGATGGTGTGAAGAATGGCTTTTTAGTAAAGGGCATGATCATTTTGGTAATAACCGGTATTTGCTTCTCTATGTTGGCATGTTTTGAAAATGAGACGTGACTTTATCTTCAATAATGGCACCGTGAACCCTCTCAGTGCATTGATCAAGCTCAAGCTTTGGTGGTTGAGTTTCAGAGACAATCTACTTCACCTCTGTTTACTGTGGGCTCATGTACAGAGTAGAAGATTACTGCACTGGGTGAAGCCTTATTCTCATTGTGTGAAGATTAATTTCGATGGAGCATTTCTTCCTCCTTCTATGCATGATGGGATTAGTATTGTTCGTAGAAATGCAGAAGGCTTGTTCATTGGGGGGTGAGGGCTGAAGGTTGATGTAGGGTGTTTGTTTTTGTTAGCTTTTTTGGGTTCTGCTAGTCTTATGTAGGGTGTTTATTTTTGTTCGCTTGTCTGCTGTTGCTTCATTGTATTTAGGTGTTATAAGGTGTTGTATTATCCTTCTTTCATACCCAAGAAGAAAAAAACAAGCAAATAAAATTCTAGGAAGGTAGGAATGAAAACGCCAGTATATAAGATGCGCAGAGAATAATTTATCCCAGTGGCCGCATATGACTATATTTTGTCACATCAAAATTTTCGGTCAGTAATTTACAGAGCTGATCATTAGGAAAATATTAACTTTTTAGAAAATTGTGGGATGATATTGAGTCAAATAAAACATAGTAGAAGAGAAGTATATTTTTCCCTTCAATTCACAATCCTAAACAGTATCAAATCCACCTTTTGTCACGCATGTAACAACGGTTTCTAAACAACCCAGAAATTTTCAAGACTTTAAAGTTTCAACATTTCAAAGCACAAATGCAGTACCTGTTTACCAAGAAGTAGAAGTCCAGGTTTCTCGACCTCCACAAGCGCTCTTAAAATCTTAGCCACAGAAAGTGGGTGAAGAGTGTCATTGAACTCCACATGAATACCCCTATCTGCACCCATCGCAAGACCCGTTCTCAGAGTATCCACACACTGAGAAGGCCCCATACTCACCGCCACGACCTCCGACGCCAATTTAGCCTCCTTAATCCGAAGAGCCTCTTCGAGCGCGATCTCGCAGAAAGGGTTCATCGACATCTTCACGTTCTGGGTCTCCACACCTGTCTGCAAAATTACTTCATTTTACAACTTAAAAAAAAATTGACATTCTGAAATGTAAAACCTATAGTACATCATTGAGACGGGTTCTTCTAGGCCGCACCTTGTCGTGTTTGACTCTGATTTTGACGGCGTAATCCACTACTCGCTTGATTGCCACCAATATCTTCATCTTCAATCTGTAGTCAGTAACTTCTGATTTGCTGATGATACTATGAGTGGCTGAATCACTCTGTTTTCCGGTGATGGTGTGATATCCGGAGATAGAAACGTAACGATTTTGCAGAATGTTGCTTAGCAAAAAATGGCAGAGAGAATTCAAATTGGACAGATTTAGTTGGAAAGAGTCGAGTCAGGTTGGGTTGTATTATATTGGAGCATTGGAGCATCGCCAGTCGCTGCACGTTGAGCTCTCTTACACGGAAACGGAATATAAGAGAAAGTGAAGGATAATGATGAAACTCCGCCTAAAAAAAAAAAAATTATAAAATATTTATTACTCTTTTCAACTCAAATTATAAAACACTTTAAAAAAAAATTTATATCTTAAAATATAAAAAAATTTAAATAAATTAAATTTTTATTAAATAAATCAATTCTAACATCATATTTTCTCTCTGTATAATTAACTTCCGTCACTTCTATTTTTAATATATTAAATTATACATATTTTGAAAATTTTATATTTTTATTTTAAAAAGATAATATTGTTAAATGTATTTAATGAGGTTTATTAATATGTAAAATTTTATCTAAAAGTGTCTCATAATTTAAAATGAAGGGAGTATTAATTATTGATTGCTGAATTAATTGATTAGATAATAAAATAAAAAAATAATAGAAAAATTAACCTAAAATATATAAATGAGAATAAGATTCATAAAATGTCATAATTCTTATAAAATCCTTGGGATCTTCATGTCCTAAATGATTTTAATAAGATAATCAAAATACCCTCGATTTAATTATAACCTCCAAAAAAGTAAATATTAATTATTGTTTTAATTTAAACAATGACTACAATTTCTCATATGCAAAAATTTTAATTGTCTAAATATTTTAAATATTCATAACTATTTCAATTATTTATTGAGTAGTAACATTTGAATTAAAGTATTGATGAATATTTGCAATACTTGAACTTTATTGAATTAAAAATTTCATAGAGGAAGTTGCGACTGCTTATGCCATTCTTGGCATAGTTTAAACTAAGTAGTAAATGATATTTACTATTTTTTAGGCTAGAGTAGTTGCTTTTTTTTAATTTAAACTATAGTTTTAATTATTTTACCAAAAATCATTAAGGTTAGGAAGGTTCTTAAAGACTTAAAAAGATTATGGCAGTTTGGGGGATTTCATTATCATTTGTATATTTTAAAATAAAATTTTTATTTTTTCATAAAATAACAAAGAAAATACTTCATACTTGTAAATTATGTATTATTAATTTTTTCCCATTGCCATAATGTCTTACAATGCTTGTTTTTAATAAATTAATCCCTAAATATTTATGTTTTTTTTTTACCATTGGTGTAATCCAGTTTGAGATACAACCAAACGCTAACTATTGATGTTATTTATTATATAATAAAACATTGTTTTTTATTGCTTATAAGTTTTTTTATTGCTTATAAGTTTTCTTTATTGGAAGAAATTATATTTAAGACACTATTATGTAATAGATTTAGACACTTCTCTTAATAAGAATTATAACATTGGTTCAGTAAGACACTAGTTTTTTTCATTAGATTCAACTCTCATTGGTAATAAAAATTTGTTATTAATATTTGATGGCCTAAATTTCACTGAAGGGGTTGGAGAGTCTTGACCTTTTGGATGTAAGAGTATGCTAGGTATGTTAGAAGAGAATGTCATCAAAGGATTAAATTATGATCGAACGATTGAATGGGTTCTCGAGGTCCTTTATCACAATTCTCTTGAAGAGTTAAGTGACTAGTGAGAATAATAACGAGCGCACCATGAATAAGCATATGGCCTGATAACATCACTTAAGGAAAAATGAGTACAATGGGCGCTTCGTGGATACAAAGAGGTAGATAAGACTATGAAACTAGCTTTGGATGTTAAGTTTGCACAAGAAAAGTAAGATGCATTGCACGAATTAGAGACGACACGAGGTTAATAGTAGAATATGTACACTGGACAAGTCTGATGTAAATTTGATAGTGTCAAGAGAGATTGAGTTTTGTGCTTGTTGCCTATTTATAGCAAATGGCAATAGCATGCTCCCTTTTGAATTCAAGATTGGCGTACTAGGAGTAGATAATTGTTCACACTTTTAAATTCCTAACGGAGCTCTATTGTGCAAAGCAATGAGCATAAGTGCATCAAGAATCTTGAAGAGTAAGGAGTGGATACTACTCCATCAAAGCCTTTCCTCAAAACACACTATCCCACTTATTCATGCAAGACAAGCACTTTGATTTTGGTTCAAACAATATTATTAACATCTTAAATTTATTTATTTGAATATTTGATTAGACAAAGGTCTTCTCTTTATAATAATAGTAATAATATGGATTTATATTTCATGTATGGCCTAAATTCACTCATTCAATAAATATCTCACATGTTATAATAATAACTATTTGATTTAATTGAAAGGTTATCAAATATTTTATCATATATTATTTGAAAAATATCAAATCTCAATTTTTTGGAGGGAATAGCATGCGTAAAAAGAATTCTAATCATTAAAATTATTTTAAATTTTTGAAGAAAAATATATCTTATAATTTTAAACATTAATAAAATTTAAATTTTAAAATTAGGATATTCATTAAGTAAGTAGACTTAAGTCACTTATTCAATCGAAATTCATAATTAATAATAACACATTACATAAGTCAAAAACATTTGGTTTAATAGGTAAGAATTTAAACCATGATTTACAAAATGTCGGGTTTAAATCTCAAGAATTTTATTGATGAATGATTTGTAATTATATTTGTAAAGTTTCCTTGAACTTGAAAATATGCCGTAGTTTTAATAAACTCTCAGATCCAATCAATCTAAATTTTCCCGCACAAAGAATAGCACATCATATAAAAACACATGTATACGCATCTATTTATTTGCTTTTTAATTTTTTTAGGAATTTATGTTTTCTAAAATATATTTCCGTGTATGTCATAGAAGAGCTATTATAATTATCAACATCATCAATCATAAATATGAAATGTGTGTCCTTAACAAAAAAATGAAATTTGTACCAACCACATGTCACAAATATCTAATTTCTTTTTATATTTGTGCTGGAATGGAAAAGTGGGACCTCTTTTATTTGTGTGCCAGCGTGGCATCATGCTTCGCTGTTCCCTTGTTTTGTTTCTATCTGAAATCTTATGGTCTTATCCTCAAAGGTCCCCTAGCACGGTACGGCCTTAATAATGATAATACATTCATGTCTACACACTCAATATTCAATAAGATCCATAATCACAACAATTCAATTTATCAACAATCGCAAAAAAAATTTTATCACATAATATTAAAAAAATATCAAATCTTAAATTTTTAGAAAGAATGATATATGTGAGTCTAGAAGAGTATATTGATCATGAGAATTGTTTTAAATTTTTAGAAGAAAATATAAATTAATAATTTTTAAATATTAAAAAATTTAATAATTATAATTGAGATACTCATTAAATAAGTAACTTTAAATTATCCACCAAATCCAAATCCATAATACAAGAAGTGCTTCATTTATTTATCCAAAAATAAAAAGGTACTTTGTCGTTAATGTCTATCCAATCAATTCATTCAATTTAATAATTAAATGTTAAGTATTTGAAGGCACGTTACTTCTAACTCATGGCCTTTCAATAAAAGATTAAATGACAATTTGGATCATAAACTATATACTCGGAGTGATTTGAATTTTGAACTCGTATTTAGTATATTTTAAATCCTAAATAATTAAAATTGAGATAATCTAGCCTCCATAATTAATTCCAAGTAAACATTTGTTATTTTGTGGGTCAGGAATTTTCTCACTCTCCCTCATTGTCTCTCTCCTCTTTAAGTGCTCACCTCCTCTCTCTATCTCTCCATCCTCCAAGGGACATCAATCAAGCACTATTTCCAAATCTCTAAAGCCCACAAATGCTTCATTTTGATGAAGGGAATGGTGAGAAAAGAGACCAAGCTAGTTAATATGATGAAGAACAATGCCCACTTTGCCATCCGCTTCAACTAAATCTTCTCGATGACATCTAGCTTTCTTCTGGAACTTTGGACCATCCTCCTTCACCTAATCTTCTTCATCATTGTTCCATTCTTTATCGATGGAAGAATACCGACCGGCGATGTCTCTAGCTTCTTGGGAGACGGTGAATTGGGCAGGGTTGGTGGTAATGCTCTTAGATGTGATATTTGGGTTTGGAGAAGCTAAGGTGATTGAGAATCTTGACTTGAAAGTGAGTTTAGGCATGGTGGTGGTGGTGGTGGTGGTGGTGTTGTCATTGTTAATGTTGTTCTAATGAGTTTCCATAGATGGATGACCAACGTTAAGGGGGTTGATAAAGAGAATGACTCCATCGAACTTTGGTTTACCTATGGATATGGATCTTAGAGTGGGCTTGGAAAATAGAGGCATAAGGGTGAATTTGAACTTTAATGCACTTGAAGGAGCCATTAGGATGAGCACCTGGAGTTAATATTGAGATAGAGGTTAGTTTATATACTATTAGTTTAGGATTCAAATTATCATTTAACCTAAACTTCTATTGAATTCATCTACTATGAGTTTATAGACACTAGCAGCTAACTTCCAATATACTCTTGTTTGTTTATTAATTATTATGCATATTCTTACTTTGCATATCAAACCAACTCTTGATTGCTTAGTTAAAAACTACATGACTGAGAATATCAGTGTACTTGTATAAAACTACATAGCACATTTCTCTTGTAGTACTTAAAATGAAATTCTTGGATCTTCCTTCTCATTAGAGGGTTATCCATGTAACTCTTGGTTTTTAAGGAGGTCTTTTATACTTCCTTTCTAAAATTTAATTAATCTCATGACGTTGTTAAAATATTCTATTTTTCTTTTGTGGAAGTTTGTTGGTTGTAATTGAGATACCAACCAAGTACATGAGTTGATTTGGCAATTGATAGCCTAGATTCTTTCATCCCCTTTTGTGCACTTTTACACTTGGTAGTTCAGATCATTATTGTCCCATCTATATCCCACAAGCCTCATACTAGAGATTGGGTCTTAATGCAGTGATTCTACCAAGTGTCAAGGCTTTTTTTTTGAAAATCAGAGATGCTACTTTGTAATTTGTCTATCATTCCAACAATTCATTCTACAACTAGAGGTGATAATTTAGATCAAGCCTGACCAATCAACCTGAATAAGCCTAAAAAATCTTAGGGTCG